ACTCTTATTCAACATAGTTTGGGAAGTTTTAGCCACAGCAAGCAGAGAAGAAAAGGAAATAAAAGGAATCCAAATCGGAAAAGAAGAAGTAAAGCTGTCACTGTTTGCAGATGACATGATACTATACATAGAGAATCCTAAAGATGCTACCAAAAAACTACTAGAGTTAATCAATGAATTTGGTAAAGTTGCAGGATATAAAATTAATGCACAGAAATCTCTGGCATTTCTATACACTAATGTTGAAAAATCTGAAAGTGAAATCAAGAAAACACTCCCATTTACCACTGCAAGAAAAAGAATAAAATACCTAGGAATAAACCTACCCAAGGAGACAAAAGACCTGTATGCAGAAAACTATAAGACACTGATGAAAGAAATTAAAGATGATACAGATGGAGAGATATACCATGTTCTTGGATTGGAAGAATCAACATTGTGAAAATGACTCTACTACCCAATGCAATCTACAGATTCAATGCAATCCCTATCAAACTACCACTGGCATTTTTCACAGAACTAGAAAAAAAATTTTCACAATTTGTATGGAAACACAAAAGACCCCAAATAGCCAAAGCAATCTTGAGAACAAAAAAATGGAGCTGGAGGAATCAGGCTCCCTGACTTCAGACTATACTACAAAGCTACAGTAATCAAGACAGTATGGTACTGGCACAAAAGCAGATAGATAGATCAATGGAACAGGATAGAAAGCTCAGAGATAAACCCACGCACATATGGTCACCTTATCTTTGATAAAGGAGGCAGGAATGTACAGTGGAGAAAGGACAGCCTCTTCAGTAAGTGGTGCTGCGAAAACTGGACAGGTACATGTAAAAGTATGAGATTAGATCACTCCCTAACACCATACACAAAAATAAGCTCAAAATGGATTAAAGACCTTAATATATGACCAGAAACTATCAAACTCTTAGAGGAAAACATAGGCAGAACACTCTATGACATAAATCACAGCAAGATCCTTTTTGACCCACGTCCTAGAGAAATGGAAATAAAAGCAAAAATAAACAAATGGGACCTAATGAAACTTCAAAGCTTTTGCACAGCAAAGGAAACCATAAACAAGACCAAAAGACAACCCTCAGAATGGGAGAAAATATTTGCAAATGAAGCAACTGACAAAGGATTAATCTCCAAAATTTACAAGCAGCTCATGCAGCTCAATAACAAAAAAACAAACAACCCAATCCAAAAATGGGCAGAAGACCTAAATAGACATTTCTCCAAAGAAGATATACAGACTGCCAACAAACACATGAAAGAATGCTCAACATCATTAATCATTAGAGAAATGCAAATGAAAAGTACAATGAGATATCATCTTATACCAGTCAGAATGGCCATCATCAAAAAATCTAGCAACAATAAATGCTGGAGAGGGTGTGGAGAAAAGGGAACACTCTTGCACTGCTGGTGGGAATGTGAATTGGTACAGCCACTATGGAGAACAGTATGGAGGTTCCTTAAAAAACTACAAATAGAACTAACATATGACCCAGCAATCCCACTACTGGGCATATACCCTGAGAAAACCATAATTCAAAAAGAGTCATGTACCAAAATGCTCATTGCAGCTCTATTTACAATAGCCCAGTGATGGAAACAACCTAAGTGCCCATCTTTGGATGAATGGATAAAGGAGATGTGGCACATATATACAATGGAATATTACTCAGCAATAAAGAGAAATGAAATTGAGCTATTTGTAATGAGGTGGATAGACCTAGAGTCTGTCATACAGAGTGAAGTAAGTCAGAAAGAGAAAGACAAATACCGTTCGCTAACACATATATATGAAATTTAAGAAAAAAAAAAATGTCATGAAGAACCGAGGGGTAAGACAGGAATAAAGACACAGACCTACTAGAGAATGCACTTGAGGATATGGGGAGGGGGAGGGGTGAGCTGTGACAAAGCGAGAGAGAGGCATGGATATATATACACTGCCGAACGTAAGGTAGATAGCTAGTGGGAAGCAGCTGCATAGCACAGGGAGATCAGCTCGGTGCTTTGTGACCGCCTGGATGGGTGGGATAGGGAGTGTGGGAGGGAGGGAGACGCAAGAGGGAAGAGATATGGGAACATATGTATACGTATAACTGATTCACTTTGTAGTAAAGCAGAAACTAACACACCACTGTAAAGCAATTTTACCCCAATAAAGAGGTTAAAAAAAAAAAAAGAGAGATAGAGAAATTCGCAAGCAAAGGACCTGAAACACCCAAAACAGCTCTGAAAATGAAGAACAGAGTTGGAGGACTTGCACTATCTGATTTCAAGACTTAGTGCATATATGGGAAAAGAATCTGAAAAAGAATATATATAAAAATGTATAACTGAATCACTTTGCTGTACACCTGAAACTAACACAACACTGTAAATCAACTATACTCCAATATGTTGATAAAATTAAAATTAAAAAATAGACTTACTGTAATGAAGACAATGGAGTACTGGTGTAAAGACACACATTTAGATTGATGAACAGAATAGAGAGAGTTCAGAAATAGACTTAAACATACATGGTCAGTTGATTTTTGATAATGGTACCAAGAATTTCAATGAGGAAAGAATAATCTTTCATTAAATGACAAGTGAACTTTTGGATATCCATATTAGTATGTACAAATATATGTATGTGTATGTATGTATATATTTGTGTGTGTCTAAAAAATGAAACAGATCTTAGACATATATTTAAGAGCTAAAACTATAAACTTTCTAGAAGAATCACAGGAGAAAATTTAGGGATCTTGAATTAGACAAAGATTTCTTAATAGGACACAAAAGCACAAACTATAAAAAGAAAAATCGGTTTCATCAAAAGTAAAAACTTTTGCTCTTTCAAAGGTACTGTTAAAAAAATGAAAAGGCAAGCCACACAATATCAGAAAATATTTGCAAAGATGTATCTTTGTGTGTAAAATACATGAAAGACGTGTATTTTACAACTCAATAAGAACACAAAAAATCTATTTCTTTTATGGGCAAAGGATTTAAAGACACTCTACAAAAGAAGATATATGGATGACAAATAAGGACATGAAAAGCCATTCAACATCATTAGTTATTAGAGAAATGCAAATGAAAACCACAATGAGATACCACTATATACCTAATAGAATAGCTAAAATTAACAAAACTGACAATACTAAGTATGGACCACAATATAGAGCAACTGGAACTTTTATCCATTATTGGCAGGATTGATTGCCACTTTGGAAAACATTTTGGCATTTGTTCATCAATGGGTAAATAGTTAAACTGTGAGATATCCATACAATTCACTACTACTCAGCAATTAAAAGGAATGAACTGTGGACACATGCAACAACATAGATGAATCTCAAAAGCATCATGCTAAGTGAAAGAACCCAGACATGAAAGAAGATATACTATATAATTATATTTATATGAAAGTCTAAGAAAGGCAAATCTATAATGATAGGAAGCAGTTCAGCAGTTGCCCGGAGCCAGGGTATGGAGTCAGCACTGACTGCAAAGGGGCAAAACAAAACTTTTAGGGATAATGGAAATATTCCACAGCAAATGCAGTTTGTCAAAACTCAGTGAAATTACCATAAAATCGCTAATTTTTAAAAAATTGAAGTATAGTTAATATACAATATTATGTTAGTTTCAGGTATACAACATAGTGATTAAATATTTTTATAGATTATACTCCATTTAAAGTTATTACAAAAGAATTGCTCTGTTTCCCTGTGCTGTACACCCTTGTTGCTTATTTATTTTATACACAGTAGTTTGTATCTCTTAATCCCTTACCCCTATCCTGCCCCTCCTTCCTCCCTCTCCCCACTGGTAACCACTATTTTGTTCTCTATGTCTGTGAGTCTGTTTCTGCTTTGTTGCATACATTTGTTTGATTTATAAAATAGCTAATTTTTATTGAATATGAATAATAACAATAAAGCTGATTAAAAGAAATCAGTAAAGACACAAACAGGTCATTAACAAAATATGAAATTCAAGTGACAGATTTTTAAAAATTTAACGATACTAGTAAACAAACAATACACTATGTACTATCATTTTTTAACTGTTTAATTGACTTTAAAATGTAAAGAATGATTACAGTTTCCAGTGAAGAGTACCTGAAGTGAGCATTCTTACACACTGCTGGTGGGAGAGTACAAAGGTACAACTTCCTGAGAACACAGAAATGTGTTTCAACAGCCTTAAAAATATTTAGAGCCTTTGATCAAGTAATTTGAATTCTAATAATTTATCCCGAGGAAACAACCAGAATGGTACAAAAAAATTATGAACAAACGTAACACTATTTATAGATGCTGACTGAATTATGTTCCTTTCATAGGATGGGATATTATTCAGTCATTTAAAATACATGTGCAGGGCTTTCCTGGTGGTGCAGTGGTTAAGGATGTGCCTGCCAATGCAGGGGACACGGGCTCAATTCCTGGTCCGGGAAGATCCCACATGCCGCAAAGCAACTAAGCCTATGCGCCACAACTACCGAGCCTGCGCTCTAGAGCCCGCGAGCCACAACTAGTGAACCCATGTGCCACAAATACTGAAGCCCGCACGCCCAGAGTCCCCGCACTGCAACAAGAGAAGCCACTGCAATGAGAAGCTCGCACACTGCAACGAAGAGTAGTCCCAGCTCACTGCAACTAGAGAAAGCCTGCGCACAGCAACAAAGATCCAACTCAGCCAAAAACAAATAAATAAATAAATTTATGTTAAAAAAATAAATAAATAAAATACATGAGCATGCCCTCCCCACCCTCCACCAACAAATCCACAGACATACACACACGCACGCACACACACACACACATTCACAATATTCTCCTCGGTGTAAGAAGCAACCAGTACCACCTAAGTAATTACTACTAAAAGCCCTTTACTGACAAAAAAAGGAAGCCTAGGATTTCAGATAAGTAAAGTAGATATATATCCACGACAATGTCACAAAAAGTGATGTTACTCTATACCTTTATATCACCGTCAATTTTTTCCCATTCTTCTGCTGTGAAACTGGCTGCTGTCGCTGCAGGTTTCTCTCTCCTCAAAGCTCTACTTCCAGGAGCCAAGCCTGAAAGGCGCTTTTCACAAAATTCAGTAAGTTCAGGATAATATCCTTCCTCACCAGACCTTTTAAAAAATTCAGAATTTTAGAGTTAGCACTTCATTTAGAGATCATATAGACCAGTGGTTTGCAAGCTGGGTTCCATGGAGCCCAGGGGTTCCACAGAGATCTCACAGTCTGCCCCTAACGAGGATGAAGGCTGAGCTGCTGCCTTCCCCTCACCGTCCTCAATTAGAGCAACCTCCACTTTCACATGCTAATCTATGGAGTACTGCGATGAAGGGGGAAAAAGGAGCTCCAAAGAAGACATCAATTTCCATCACACACTTTAAAAGTTGAATAGGTAACATTTTCTCTCCTCTTTAGCACACATATGTTCATTTTGCATATAAGGTAATTTTAAACTTATAAATGGAGATCCATTATTAGAGACAGGCGAAGAGTGAGACTTTGGACTTACTTTCCAATGAGGAGTTACTGTTCTAGCTCATTTTCTTTTTCCCCCCAAAGGGATAGGAAGAAAATGGCAGAAGAACAGTTTAGAACAACACACCTCTAAATTCAACCACTCAAGGAACAGAATTCCTTCCTTAGTTATACAGAGACATGCGTTCTCTTTTGCTTTTTTTTTTTTTTAAGGAAAATCAATCTTTTCCCCATTTCTTGTGAATCTGTTTACATCTAAATTTTTAGAAAAATAAAAATAAATCCCATTTTCAAAGTAAATTAAAAACATAATCCCAAGTCAATACAATTTAATTAGGCTATTCATAAAATGTCTTTCAAACTCTTTCATCCCATAAACTTCGCATTTTCTTTTAGTCTTTAATCAAATAAAAATGAAAACGTTCTTATATGTTGAGAAAAGCGAGAGGGAAAACAATGATATGATGAGGCTATTACATCAACACTGGCTGGGGACAAGCAGGGATGCTTAGGAAGGACAGGAGGCTAAAGGTGATAAGAAAGAAAAAGGAAAAAAAGAAAGAATAAGGAAAGGACACAGCAGTAAGGAAGGGCATCAGAGGAAAGAAAAGAGAGAACCACTGCCGAGCAAAAGGAATACTACTGATGTCCCGGAAATGGGCAGTTTGTGCTCACAAGTGCTTCTGCAGTAATGAGGCGATCCTCCAAATGAAAAACCCTCAAAAAACCCCAAACAGGTGGCACAGGTTGGTAGGCCACAGGGCAGTGTTTCCTGTAGAGTTCCCTTGACCACCCGCATGATCAGCCAGTGTGCTCGTTAAAAACACGTTCCTGGGCTCCACTCATGATTTCCTGAAGCAGAATTTCTAGGAGTGGGGCCCTCAAATTTCCATTTTCTAACAACCATGTTTGGCAAATATTAAAGTTTGACAATCACAGCCACAGGGCTCTTACCCAGAAAAGGCCTTGATTTCCTGACTTCTGGGGTCCCCCCCATCCCATCCCCCATGCGACGGCTCCCAGTGAGTCACCCACCTTTGCTGGCAGATAGTGTGAAGTGGGAGAGTGCCACAGCACTTTATCAGCATACGCAGGTGCCTCCTAACGGCTACTTTACCGGTTCCTAGAAAGTGCCAGGAAGCAAGAAAAATGCCCTCTTGGATACTAATTAGCCTAAGTCTTGTGCTGGAAGTAGATCTAGCCAGAACCCGCCAAACTAACCACAGGATTGAAACCACTATTTTGGAACCTAACATGGACAAAAACAACAATTTCAATATTGGAAAATCTGCTCCAAAATTTCTAATGTAGCTTTGAATTTTAGAAGTCAACAATATAATTAAAATTGGCAAACTGAAACATGATATGATTTTTAAACGCTTACCTGAGCACACAAAGAATTTTTTCCAAGTGTTTAACATCTGAACATTTTTCAATATACTTGAAATCCAAATGTTCAACAGGTATTTTAAATGTTTTTGTTGTTCCAAAGCCCCACAATGATGGATAATCTTTGGCAGTCATGGCTGAAATATAGTGTAGGAAAATAGTTATGAATCTAATATATACATTAATACTCAATTTGGATAGTAGGGACCATCTAGGTACTTCTGTAATATTTATTTTTCATTTCTATAGAAAAGGAGATGGAGTATTTCTTCTAAGGAGGAAGCTACTCATTGTAAATTCTCTCTCCCTGATAAGAACAGTTAACATTCATCGGGCTAAATTACTATATACCGACTTCCCTGGTGGCGTGGTGGTTAAGAATCTGCCTGCCAATGGAATCCTGAAGCCCCTGAGATTTTATGATTTGAATAAAATGTGGTGAAAAACATTTGAAATGATAAAGACACCTCTTACCTAATCAAGCGAATTTTATTCTGAACTGTTTCAACGTTTCTGAGAATCCTTTTGGAAAACTACCACTTGTGGGGGTGGGGGTGGGTAGGAGAGATTCTCAAGACCACAAAACGTTAACTCCAAAAAACAAGTCATACAGTACTTTGCTCTATTTAGAACTCTTCCACATCTGTTTCCAATTTCTTTGCCTCTGATTAGAAAAAACTTTGGTCCTAATTGGCGTTAATTTCTTCTCCACCGTCCTAACCCACATCCATTTCCCATATTTCCTAATCAGTATATCAGTAATACCTCCAGCACAAACTGCAATGGGCTAGTAACACGAAAAATGGTTTTCTTCCACCTAGGCACGTTCTTTCCAGCATCCACAGGGCTGGGCGCCACCTGCAGCCAGAGACCGGAAGGAAACGGCATCCTCCAGCAGTAGCAACGGTTTCTATGTACAGCGCGGGTCAGGGACTGCCTGAGATCCGGGAGCTCTACAGCCAACCCGCAACGGTCAAGGGGCACTTAAGGACTCTACGAAACTTCTCCCCATTCCTCTGCTTTGTTCACAAGGACCGGTGGTCGCCGCCAGAGCCCGGGAACCTCCCCGCCGCACCACCACCTCCGCGTTGCCGCTCTGCCCCAACATCCGCCACCGTCAGCCCCGAGAAACATAAGGCCCCCAGGCTGTTGCCCCGGCCGACAAGGACATCCCTCCAACTGCAGTCCGATAGTGCATTTGCTCCTCCGGGTCCATCTTCCACCCCGGCTCCCAGAGGAAGGGATTGCGATGGAGAGACGTAGTTTACTCCTGGCCTGCAGATACTCACCTGGTTCAGACCCCAAGCCTTGCGGAAGCCGCAGCCACACACCACCAGTCGCGCGGCTCGTAACCAAGGAGGGGCGTGTCGCCCCGCCCCACTCACCCCACTCCGGCACCAGAGGGCTTGCGGCGGACCGCCGGGGGCGGGGATTAGGGCGTCTGCGTGATGACAGGCTAGTCTCCGGTTTGCCATCCGGCTGATTGGCCTTGCAGACCCAGCCTCACCCGAACAGAAGAACGTTAGCCGAGAAATAAGAGTTGCAATTCCACGTGCCCTGTAATTTTCTTTTCACGCACACTTTGGTTTTTTTCTGGTTACAATTATGTACATATACAATTATGCTGAATAAACAAGCAGGATAAAAACTAACTCAAAGGAAATGGACTATGCAGGCAAATGAAAATTACCACTATCATCTTCATAAAGACATTGCGTCCAATAATTAATAGATGGATTAGAAAGTAAAGTTGAAGAAATCTTTCACAGAGCAGATAAAGAAAAAAAAGGAAATCGAAAAAGATGAAAAAGTTAGGTCTAATATTAGATTTAAAAGATCTAGAGAGAATACTGAGGGTAGGAAGTTATCAATTCAAGAAAAATTTCCAGAATTGAAGAGCTTGAGTTTCCAGACTGAAAGCACCCACCAAGTGACCAAAACAGGGAAGGAAAACAGACCCATACCAAGGCACAAACTGCAAAATTTCAGGACACTGGCAAAGAAAATTCTAAGTTTCTAGAGCGAAAACAGGTCACATACAAAGCATTAGGAAGAACAGTTTTGGACTTCCCCACAATAATACAGAAAACTAGATGACATTCTGACACTGGGGAAGAACACAAGACAGGTCATTTCAGGCAGAGAGAAAGGCAGGAGCACAGGCAAAAAGGTCCGTTATCTGCTTAAGGAACTGCAAACATCTCCTTAAAACCAAGATTGAGAGGTGGGCTGAAGTGGTGACAGAGGCAGGAAAGGAGTCTATACTATTCCCAAATATACTATTCCCAAATATACTATTCCCAATAGTTTTCGTTTTATCAAAATGGGAAGCTACTAAGAATTTTCAGCAAGACAGTACTGTGCAATTTCTATTTTACAATGAGCAAGCTGGGAATTCCCTAGTGGTCCAGCGGTTAGGACTCTACAATGAGCAAGCTAAAGAGTATGGAAAACAGCAAGACCAGTAACTGAGACTAATCCTAAGACTGATACAAGCACCTGTGCAGAAAATGCTAATACTTTCTGTAATGGTGTTAACAGTTATTAGATTAAGAGTTTTTATGAAGTATTTAATTTTATCTTGCAGCAAACCTTTGACATAGGTGCTATTATTTCATGCCCATTTTACAAATAAGGAAAGTGAATCTTGGTAGTCACTGACATAGAACAAGGGACACTCTGGGAATACGGACCCAAAGCCTTTTGCCGAAGTCCATACTGTTTACTGTGCTCCTAAGTACTAACCAATTCACAAGTCCTATTCAACTTCAAAACATATCTCACAACCAGCTACTTCTCACTCCCTCTACGCCTACCCTGGCCCAGCCACCATTACTCTTAGCCTGAACTTTTACAGGTGGCCCCTAACTGGCTTCCCACCATCCCGTCCCTATATTGTCCGTTCCCACAGAACAGACCCAGTAATCTTTTAAGTCTGGGCAGAGGGTGGAGGGTGGATGGATGTGCATGTATTTGTACAGGTAAGGAGGCAACTTGTTTTTACGTGTTCTCAGTTTACACTTTCTCACTTTATGTGATATTTTAATCTTCTTAAAATTGGTCATTTATGATTTCATCTACTAGTTTTGAATGTCATTAACTTCAATCTCTGAAGATAGCTTCAGAGTCTAAAAGCACTGAACTATCATTAATTCCTTGACTTTGACAAGCTGAAGTCAAAAGAAATAAACTGGCCAGTAATTGAGTAGCAGCGCTGGATTTGAACCAATTTCCGTGTATTGATATTTTTGATGGACCTGCGTGTCTACAGCCATTGGTAAGCAGTTTAGTAGGGGACAAGTTATGTATTAGCTTCAAGCTCAGATTTACTGATTTTTATATTTATAGAGTACTATTCAAAAGGATCTTTTAAAAGCAATTTTATATCTATTTTACCTTTTCCTAAAACTATCCAGGTAGGCAAGAGGTAAAATTACATCCATTTTATAGATGATGGGGACACGAAGAGGTAACTGAAACGATGGTCTTGAGTTCCAGTGGTTAATACTTTTCCCATTAAACCACTGTCTAGTTAACCAAATAACAGTATTCAATTAAACTATTGATACACAAAGGAGCTATGATGAAATTAGAATAGTTAAGAGCAACATTACCCAATGAGTTGTGGTTTAGGAGGCTGTCATAAAGAGATATTTATTGGGACTCTTGTACAAAAAGGACCAGCTCAAGAAGGAACATGGCAGGGCTTCCCTGGTGGCGCAGTGGTTGAGAGTCTGCCTGCTGATGCAGGGGACATGGGTTCGTGCCCTGGTCTGGGAAGATCCCACGTGCCGCGGAGCGGCTGCGCCTGTGAGCCATGGCCAGTGAGCCTGCGCTCCGCAACGGGAGAGGCCACAACAGTGAGAGGCCCGCATAGCACAAAAAAAAAAAAGGAACATGGCAGAATTACAAAATTATGAAAGCCACAGTCCAGGAAAACCTGGACCAAGGAAGCATTCTTTAAAAATCTTGAGTATGGTAGTACTTTGTATAGCACATAATAAATTTACAGAACTTAATATTTGAGGATGGTAGTAGAAACAATGTTTTGTTTTCTTTTTTAAACGGCACAGTTGCACAGTTGATACTTTCAATGTGCGAGACACACAAAACTATTAACGAAGTTGAAATATATCTAATCGAATCCTGGAACAGATGGAGTATCTGAGCATCCATATCCCTATCAAGGCAAAAGCTTTAAACATTCATCCAATTTAGTGTAAACCAACTCCTATTTTTTCTATATCCTGAAAGCAGAGTTTTTTACCTTAATGAATGATTACACCTGGGAAACTGCACCTGCCTTAATAGTCTGCTTCATCCACTTTACTTGGGGTTGATTTTGCCTTAGAGAAAGCAATCATTAAAGTTTCTTTTCCCTTGCCAAAGATTTAAAAAACAGTCAAGCATTATATACAAATACAGAAAGGCCTATGCCAAGTTAACAAATAAATTATAACTCAAAATGAGGTATGCACACTGATAGTAAGTGCGCTGGTATACTCTATACAAAATGAGGCTGGAGAGTTTACAAACAATTGGTGATGTAAAACAGTGGTTTCCTAGGAACTTACTTAATCAGACCTTTAAAGGGCCCTAGCAAACTTCATTTTTAACAAGGGCCCCAGATGATTCTAGGTTTTGATTGAAGTGTAGTTTGGGGAATCACTTTTAACCTTCATTGTGTGTCAGATTACATATACGATAAAATTAAATTACAAACCATGTAACTGAACAAAAATATCTTTATATAAGCTATTAATAGATACCTAAATACAATATGGTTTTTAAAATGAAATCATGTGTATATAGTTGTATTCATAAAGTACACTAATCAAAAGCTATATGACAACATTAATAGCAAATCCAAATGCAAATGAAGACATTCCTCTGTATTTCATCTTTCATCGAGCATCAAAAACCACCACTATACAAAAACTGAGTTAAGGACAAAATAAGTACTTCAAAATTATATTAAAAATTTAATACTTCCAAGTCACTTTCTCTTTGCAATAAGCTAGTTATTTAATCTAAAATGCACAAAAGAATGAAGTTCACTATTTACTATGATAATTAGAAATGAACTAAAAAAATAAACTATCTTAATTATTAGCCCCCCCCCATGATACAAGAGACCAATGCACCAAGAAACACTAAAGCAGTGTTAAAAGTAATAATTTAGTGATCTAAAAAACACTGGTAGTTATTATATAACAATTTACTCTCAGTCTTTCAGCTAATTTGTAAGCCTCACTTATTCCATTAGGTAGCATACAAACTCAATATCTGTATTTCTCCTTGTATCATTTAGTTTGCCCATAAACTGAAGCTCAAGAATGAGTACTTATATACAGAATCCCTGAAAAAATACACTTATGAAAGCCCAAATCAACTAGTATTTAGATTATTTAGTATATGTCTATACCCTGGAGTACTGGTCCATGAAAATGCTAATCATGGCTTTTGTTTTTTTGGTAAGCAATCCAAGTTGTTACCATTTTTACCAGAAATTAGTCTTTGACTATCAAACCATGCATTATTTTTCACTTCCTCTTATCTCATAGTCATAAAGCTTAGTTAGAAGGATACGTCTTTTAGTCCTTTTCTTGTACATTATTCTGTATCCACATTCTCTGCAACGGATTGGATCCCTTGATTTTATTTCATTTTCTGTGTGACATTCTAGAAACAAAACACGTTTATTCAATGCCTAAAAGAGAAATATTACAGACGAGCAAATTATCTTAACCATACTTTTCACCCAAAGCACTAAAATATAGTATACTCAGTCTCAAGGGTATGTTGCCATTACCAACATATTAAGGGAGAAAGAAAAAAAGAGTGGCAGACAATGCATTTTTCCTAGGAAAGAAAATGAAATCTTAATAAGAGGATTTTTTTTAAGATTGTTAAAGTTGTTCTGCTTTCTAACTTTAAAGATGACTCATTTAAGCCAAAGATAAATGCAATAATTTTTTTAAAACCGAGGTGAAATACTCTTACTTTTGTGTTACTCTTACCTCCACAGATATATATCATTGGCTGCTGCTTTGGGGGTTGAACGTCCTTCTGGGTGTCCATTGTTGTCCCTGAAATCACAGACTCAAATATTTAATATCTCAAATGGCATCCTCACAAATCTAACCAGGCCTCATGTTTCTCGGAGAAAGCTAAAAAGGTCCCAATTCCTAATCTGTGCTTTTTTCAAACTCTATAGGTGGGTCTAAAGAACGAAACAAAAAAACAACGTATTGTGCATTTACCCCCAAACTGGACACAATAATAAACACTTTACATATGTCATTTCAATTATGCATGCCATTTCATTATAATCTTTACAACAATTCTAGGAGGTATTACTCTTATTTTACAGATGAAGGAACTGGGGTTTAAAGAAGTTAATTTGGGCAGGATTATTCATCTGTTAAGAGTCAGAGATTTAGATCTGACTGCAAAGCTCGCGTCTTCATTTAACAC